ACGCGCAGAGAGAGGACAAGGTAAGTGAGATAAGGTAAGTATTGTTTAAATGACATGTGTCTTATTTTTATAGGTTAATGAATTTTATATATCATATTAAATAAATTAAACTATCAACTATATTTTATATTAAAAAATAAAAATAAAAATATCAAAATTCATAATTTTTCATTCTCTACAAATAGAGACCACATTTGATAGATTTGGGAATACAATTATATTATTATTATTTATAATTAATTTATGTTATTAGAATATGATGACGCAAATCTATAATAAAATGAACATGTTACATAGTAAGATGAACATGTTATATAATAAGATGAACATGTTATAGAATAAGATGAAAATGTTACATATTTACAAAATAAGGTGAACATGTTGTAAAATAAGATGGATATGTTACATAATGAAATGAACATGTTATAAAATAAGAAGAACATGTATAAAAAAAATAAATAAATAAAAAATAAAAAAAAAAAACAAGATGAACATGTTACATATTTACACAATAAGGTGAACGTGTTACAAAATGAGATGGACATGTTATAAAATAAGATGAACATATTACATAGTAAGATGGAAATATTATAAAATAAGATGAACATGTTACATAGTAAGATGGACATGTTATATAATAAGATGAACATGTTACATAGTAAGAAGAACATGTTATATAGTAAGAATGTAAGATGAATATGTTATATAATAAGATGAAAATATTACATATTTACAAAATAAGGTGAGCATGTTATAAAATAAGATGGATATGTTACAAAATGAGTAAGATGAACATATTATATAGTAAGATGAACATGTTATAGAATAAGATAAACATGTTACATATTTACACAATAAGACGAACATGTTACAAAATAAGATGGATATGTTACAAAATGAGATGAACATGCTATAAAATAAGATGAACATGTTACATAATGAGATGAACATGTTACATAGTAAGATGAACATGTTATATAATAAGATGAATATGTTATAGAATAAAATGAAAATGTTACATATTTACAAAATAAGGTGAACATTTTTGGGAGGTTTGGATGGCATGAGGTGGAGACTTACATCTTCGGGTGCATTCTCTACGTCATCAGCCTGGGGAGAAGTGAGGTGGGGCAACCGGCCAAACCGCCTCTTCGGGGCCATATAGACCGACCTTCTCACCCGACCATTTCCGTCTTTTTGACTCGACTATACTATAATTTAACTCTATTATACTAAGTTTGACTCGACTATACTAGAATTTGACTCGATTATACTAAGTTTGACTCGACTGTACTAGAATTTGAATGGATCATACTAGAATTTGAATTGATTATACTAGAATTGAATTGATCATATTAGAATTTGAATCGATTATACTATAATTGAATATATCATACTAGAAATGACTCGACTATACTATAATTAGCTTGATCATACTACAATTGACTCGATTGTGCTAAGTTTGACTTAATTATACTAAGTTTGACTCAGTTATACTTGGTAAAATGAATATATTACTTTGTAAAATGAATAAGTGTCT